TATATGAGTAGAATATGAATGTTTTGACATAATAACTAAGAAAGTTACATGAAGGCTATGTTAACCAGTTTGATGGAAGTGTCTTGGATTATGTATGAAAACACCACACTGTACCCGCAAAGTGCATCAATGTACACAGTTACCATTCAATAAAAAAAAAAAAAAAAAAAGGAGCAATATTGGATTATGTCCTATTGTTGTTCTTATCTTCTTTTTGTCCCCCTGTTTGTTTATACAGACAAAAGCACTGTAGAAGATTCAAAGAGTTGTCCCATGTAGTTCTAGTCTCAAAGGATTTTCAATCCTCCCAAGAAGTAGATTAGTTCACTGACTGAAATATTTTGCCAGTTACATTAGGTCACCATGGACGCAGCCCATACCCAACATGGCTGCCAGGAAGCTGGGAAGATGGATGTTTTCCTGGAAGAGGCTGTTATAAAAGTCTACTGAACTGATTTCTATGTTCGTGTTTGCCTCCACTTGTATGTGTGGTCTCAAATAATTCAGCTCATGCAGCCTGTCCAGATTGTTTTCATCCTTCTATCAAGTGGTATTTGACAAGATCAATAATTTTCAAACTGCACCTTACAAATTTCTTGAGAGGCCATAGCAAGGAACAGGTGGTGAGAAGAGTTGTGAAGCCCAGAATCCTACTGATTCAACCAGAGAAGCGCTTCTGCTTTTCGTATTGACCTAATTCCTCAGATTTCATGTGAACAGTGAGTTCACAGGATTAAATTAGCTTTGACTCCAATTTCTTTCTGTTTGAACATTCTACAAATCTCAATCTATGCACTACTGAGAATGAAGAATCTGTCCTATATTATATTTTTAATAATACAGAATCAGTCTGTGTATAGTATTTATTTATTCATACTTTTCTTAAAATATTTATAAAAATGTCTTCAGTGAATGATAAGTAAAATTTCTTAACTGTCCAGTTAGAAAAACCATTGGGCACTCAGAAATTAAATCTTGATATCTGTGTTTTTCACAGGTTAATGACAAAGCAGATTATAGTATATTTATTTATTGCCCAACATAAAGTTATATGACTAATTTAGGAAGCAGTCTTTTTATATGTTGGTTTCTGGAAATGCTGATTAATCACCAGCAGGAAGTTTGAACACCAGGGGAAATTACTTTGCACATTCATAAAGATTAATTTAAAGAGCAGGACAAATTTCTCTCATGAACATGTATTTATAGTAGTGTTAGAGACAAACACATTTGAGTTTTAAAAATACGAGATCTAGGGAAGGAGTTTATTTTCCAAAGATTATTTAGGCATCCTAATCATCTTTTTCGGATGATTTAGACTTTCCAAAAGGGAACATTTCATGCTAAAGGCAAATGGGTTACTTTATCCCCCCTCCCTCAACGATGTGACCAATGTTGTATCTAATAGTGTTTCCTGGACTAAGCTGGATTCCACCATTTATTGGTGGATTTATTGAGCAGGTCAGTAAAGTTAGGCAGGAGTAGACTGCTGTTGGAGATGTATTAGTGGTGTTCTACCACATAATGGTTCCCTAATTACTTGTTTTAAAGTGCCTTCAGAAATTACACAATTTATCCCCTACCTCCTGCCCTAGCTCCTCAGTGACTTAAACATTGGAAAATTTTTTGGTTTTCTACACCCAAGTTGTTCAGCATAAATTTCCTTTCAGGGAAGAGATAGGGTGCGGCAATGTGCAAATTTACGCTTAAAAAGCCCCTTGGTTGTGCTCACCTTGGCAGCACATGTACCAAAATTGGAAGGATATAGAGATTAGCATGGCCCCTGTGCAAGGATGACATGCAAATGGTGAAGCATTACGTATTTTTACGTTAAAAAAATAAAAACTCTTTGTTATAAAACCCCCCCCAAACAAAAACAAACAACAGCAACAAGAAAAAACAAATGAGTCCCTAAAGAACTATAATGAAGTTTTTTAGTCTGTAGATATATAAAGAGACAAAAATCGTGATAACAAGTTTTGGTTACAAGGTTTCCCTAGAACTAATTTTAATACTGTTTCCATCAATTTTTTTTCATATGCCAATCTATACAAGGAAAATAAATAAATAGTAAAATGATTCCACCTCAAAATACCACCTGCATCTTTTCCTTTAGATTCCACCACTGAATAGGGTCCATTACTGCTCAGCTGAACCCCGTACTGGAGTGGGTTGAAGAGGCCTGAAGGAAAACGCAGCCTGATTCCACGCATGCCACCAGGTTTAGAATTAACCACATACCCTCGTTTCATGCAGATAGCAAACTGCACGAAAGTCCTTTTTACAGTCTCCAGCAACAAAACCTATGACCTATGTGTCTTTGAAGTGACTCATTTAAGTTATCTGAGCTTAGGTTGCTTAATCTATAGAAGGGTTATGTCAGAAATCTCAAGTAAGTGAAGTGTTGGGAATGGGCAGGACGGATAGGTAAACAAAGTAGTTGTTACACTTGGGGGGGCTCTGACACTCTTTTCTGGTAAAGTAATGGAAACATACCAAAAAAATCTAAGTACAGCATATTGTAAGAAATTTATAATGGGGAAGGAGAAAAACGGGAGGTATGTATTTGGTGGGTGTGTATGGGGCGTATCTAGTGGTGCAGTGAAGAGCAGTTAGTATCCAAAATAATTTAAATTCAAAAGTGAACGGGCTCCGTGTATGAGGTCCTATCGTTGCCTTCCTTCTCTAAAATAAAATGCAAATCACTAAAACATTAGTGTCTCTCCTATTGCTCTTTTCTAAGTTAGGGTTCAATCTGATACAATTTTCTAAAGAGTGAAAATGCAATCAGACACCCTGAGTAGATGAAAGAAAATGCAAACCTTTATCTTTTGTGTTTCCCTTCACAGTTTAGCAGTTCTGAAGCTCAGAGACTTCAATGGCCATTTCAAGTAAAGAATACCTCAATCAAGCCCTACAATGTGTTAACGCATCTTAATAACAATAATGAAATAGGCTCCTTTAATGTGGGTGAAGGTCTTCATTTGTTATGACTCACTTAAGAGCTTACACCTATGGTTAAAAAAGAACACATTTCTTTTTTTGTTTGTTTTTTCTGATTGTCTGCCCACTTTGTAAGTGCTGGGGAATACAAAATGGCTAATGAGAGGATGGATAGAATGTCTGCTTCTCCAAACCATTCTCATCTTTTATTCACTGGGCAAACAAATATTTATGGAATACTCACGAAGATCTGGGCTGTGCTAAGCCCTAGGATAAAAGCGATTGAGAGAATAACGCACCCTTGAGAATCTCTTGAACCAGAAGAGGGGCTGACACACACATTATCTAAATAATAACAAGACTTTCAATTGGTGCGTTTAGAATAAGGTGAAATGCACTCTGGTTTAATTAAGGGTGGAAAGATGGTGGCAGGGGCACTTTCATATTTAAGGAAGGAATTTTAGGAAAAACAAAGCAGGCCTCAGTTGGTCTGTTTTGCTTCTGGCTTTCTAGCAGAACCAAGATCCAAGAATAGTTAAAAATCACACCACACTATGAATGTTATTTTTAAAGATGGGGTTACAAATAAATAAAAAAGTGATAAAGAGAGAAGTACAAATAATTCTCCAAGTTTTTTACCCTGGATGAGGGAAGAGTATGTCCCTTCTTTTCTCTTTTCAGGGTCTTTAGATTCCGTAAGGTAGAAGATTGTGTCAGCTGGTGAAATTTTAGAAAAAATGGTGAATTTATCACCCCAATTTTTATTCTCACAAGAATGATCAAATGTTGAAGTGTATGTATGTATATATTTTTTCTTCTCTCTCTCTCTCTTTTTTCCAGTCTGTAAACGGGGGCTGACACAGACTCTAGTTAGAAGCAAACGTTTTAGATCCATGGTTTGAGACTAAATTTGAGCATTGGCTTCCACATTCGTTGGCTACGTATTCTAGGAAAATTACTTAGTTTATTGTACATCAGCTTTTAATTTTAAAGTAGGATCATATAGACGGTCTCACAGATGAGCTTATATAGGTAATGTGCTAATGACAATACTTATCATGTATTAAATGCTAAATAAATGTTAGCTAGGATAGCCTACACTCATAAATCACAGTGGGTGGGGTTGACAACAGAAGGAAATGAAGTATTTAGATATTTATTCAAATAATGAAACATCTGAAATATACATAGTCAAAAATAACCATATGTTTAACTGAAGTAATCTTGGTCATTTATTTAACACCCGATATCTATTGAACATCTACTATGAGGCACTGAGATATATAAATGTATATAAATAACAAAAAAAAAAAATGGGCAAAATCCTGCCATTCTGGAACTTGAGTTCAAATTGAGTAGCTTTTAATTCTGATCAAGACAAATTAAAATTTATATCTCATGAAATCATTAAAGCCCATAGTTCAAAAAGCACTGTTCATGGGAAGAAAATATGCCAATGTCTTCTCTACAATTTAAAGACACTGTGATAAGAGAAAAGGGAAGAGAGTGGACTAGCTTGCTTTCCAAATTCTATTTTATTCTGACTTTACGAAACTATTTCAAGAATTTGTTTGCCGAGGAAGTGAGTGCTTACCATATGGCAAGGCTCCGTGCTAGGCACTACCAGCTTTCTACAGATGAGAAAACCACGATAAAGGAAATTTAAACCCTAGCCAGGATTGCAAGGGTAGTGAAGTGGTGGGACTAGAATTCAAACATAAATCTGATTTCCAGGACACAGGGTCTTTACCAATATCTAGCTAGTATGGTCACACTTTAACAGTCATGGCATCAGGGTTACAGAAAAAAGGGGGAAAGCAAAGAATCTCTTAATATTTCACTCAGAATAAAAAGGGTATTGAAATATTTTTACATTGTTAGAATGATACAACATGTTAACACTTGTTACTTTTTGGTACTGAGCATATGGACGCTTGTTATAGGAATCGCTATAGTTTCCTGTATTTTAATTTTTTGGAAAAAAAAATACCACCCAGACCCATGAGGATCGAAACATTTATTATGCATTTACTACGTGCTAGGTGCTTTTGTGAGCTCATTATTTATATCACCCCCTTTAATCCTTGTATGTGCCTTTTTTTTTTGACAGATGCTGTTATTAAAACACAAATTTTAGAGACGAGGAAACTGAAGCACAGAGCAATTAAGTAACTGGAAGAGCTTGTATTCAAATCCTGGCAGGAAGGTTCCAGAGCCAGCTGGTACTCTTCTTAAACACTATCTGATATTCTCACTTGAAATAAAAGCTAACACTTATGGAACAATTACAAAGTGGCAAGCACTGTTTCCCTCATGCGGCATACAATAATATTTCTTAATTTTTATAACAACTTTCCAAAAGAGCAAGAAGTGAAAATAAAATCTTAAGCCTCCCAACCAATTTACTGGACCACATTTTGGCCAAGGGAACACCAGAGAATCTAAAACTGATTTCTTGGCCGTGATGGAACAGGAGATGAGCTGCACGTCATTACACCCCCTCCCTTGCTCACCACTACTTGATTTTTCTTTTCTACACAGAAACCAGCCCTTTCCAGAGTTTTGCTCCACCACTGATTTCAACCGGTTCCCTGACACTGTCTCTCCCCTTTTATGATTTTAACACAACTGACCAGCATTCCTTTATAAGAGACCACCAACCAGCGAGTGGCTCCAGCTGGTTTACAGAGGTTGCACCCATGAGGCTTCTGTGCTGTCGCTTTCATATTGTGACAAATAGAACCTAATTTTTATGCATTACATGTTAAGTCTCCACCCCAAAGTGAAGACAAGACATATGTAACACACATGTTTGCTTAATATACCTGCACTTATCCCCCTTCATGAATATTCATAGCTCCTCTTATAACTTGTTGAATATGTATTCTTGTCTAACTAGTTCAGCAGAAATTCCTGTCTCACCGTTTACTCCCTTGCAGTGCCTGTGTAAGGTTTCTGACTAAAGCTACACATTACAGTCTGTAAGATGACCAGCCTACACACTGCAATCCTTTATGAGAAATAAGCTCTCCTCCCCACGTTTATGAACCTTGTAGTTCTTCAGCTGACAACGGCTACAATATCCTTACTTTAAAGGTGAGAAACATGGGAGACGGGTTTAGTAAGCTAATTAAAAGTTCACATATATAAATTGGATATCATCCACAACAGTTACAGGTACTTTTGAAGATATTCTATTTAAATCAATAGATTTAAAAGACTCAAAAGCATAAGAATATAACCTCTTTTCAATTATCTTACTGATTTGTCTCTACCAGGAAAGGTCTACTCCCATTTTCCTGGAATATAATTGAGGCTCAAAAACTGTATGTAAATCATCCAAGGTCACAAATAAATTTTTAAGTTGATGTTGGAACTGTTGTCTTGCTCACTCCAAATATAGTTTCAACCAAAGGTATAGATTAAAATATCTTAAGCATTTCAGATTTACTATTTGAAAAATAAAGAGAAGGACCCTCAAAATTGAGATTAACTAAGGATTCACATCAGGACTGTTTGGGGAATACAGTACATTGGTTTTTGTGGGCATGTTTCCATTCAGTGCTTGGCTGAACCCATCCCCTGATTTTTCAATGAAGGTGAAAAATTTGGTTCAGGGTTGAAGATCATTCTTAATTTTGCCTTTTGAATATACTATGTAGGTCACCTCCTGAGTGTATAACTCCATCTATAATTTACTTACACCATGAGAGAAAAGTTCCATTATACTACAAGACTGATTACCAGGGTTTTTCATTAAATGAAGTTGAAAGCCCAGATTCTTTAGCTAAAGACCATCTCATGGGAATTGTCCTGACATGATACTTTCTTTTTTGGTTGGAACTGTAGGGTAAATACTCAGTACCTAGCAATTCCTTGCAAAT